ACACTTGGCGACAGAATGAAGCCTTAAGAGATCTGCTAAAATAAGAGGAAACTGGTCAAACAACTCGAAAGAGACTAAGGAAACAATTATTTTACTATATCGGAGGGAACGCTAGGCTGCAAGAAGTATCGTTGAAAGAGTGCATCTTCGTTAATAGCATGCGCGAGATAGAAGTAGTGGACAAGAAGAGAGCAGTCTACATGAGCTGGCAGCAGCCATGGCATAGGTTGAACACAAAGAATAGAAAAGGCTATTTAAAAGGTGCCGTGGGGCTGATAAGTGGAAATGTGCTAGTATAAGCGTACTGGTATAAGAGTTTTAAATAATCTATAGACTCGCTAACAACGTTTTCTCCATAAAATCCTCTAGACTTGTGGGAGGTCCATGTACAAGTATTCCGAGATCCCGGTTATTGAATCCGTAGTGGCATTGCCTCTTAACCACAATCCTCAAAGCTGAACACGAAAGAGCCAGGAAAATAGAATTTCAACATGTTGTATTATGAGAAGGTCAATAATGGTGGATGAGGTAACATTCATTCGAAATTGAATTCTTCGGATGGCACAGCTCAGCCTTGCAGGTGTGATCATTCCTATGCAACTTATCTCTTCTATCCATATTACATATATCAGTCCATCTCCAGCCTAAATGTGTTCTCCATCATATTTTGGTGTCTGCTACGACGTGGTGAGGCAGTGTTATGTGTGACTACGTAAGATCTTGTAGATTAGGCATAAGGAATCTACAATTTTGGGATTAAATCTACCATTAATACTGTACTAATAACGAAGTAGGCCATGTTCTAGGACCATATTTTTTCCCCTTACCTAACAGTGTTACCCTCCTTACTAAACCATGGCGGGGAGTTTCTCAGATTCCTTGGTGTTGTTCAAGGAACATGCAGCATGTAAATTCTCAACTACCTCCATGACGTTTCGTCGGAAGATTCCAAATCTATTGTCAAACTTTTTGTATGTTTGCTTTCCAAATGTTTGGTCTAGTTTGAACTGACACATCATTAATGACATCCGTATGGAGAGCAAAGACTAGAACTACATGGTCACACTTACCCGAGTGTGGCATATAATGGAGGTTAGTGACATTATCCTCATGATGGGTCAATATGAGATCTATTAAGGATGATTCGGATTCTGGGTCTTATCTAGTTGCTTCCTTCAGGTGTCGCACAAGAGCATATCGGATAATGGCGCCAACTAGATTTTTCGAAAAGAACTTCTGACAAATCGGTCCTTATAATTTTTTCCAATCTACCGTAAGTGGATTATAGTCTCCGAAGTTTAAACATCAACCAATTGACGCCCAAGTGTTTGAAACGCCTAACAGGACCCTATTCACCCTATAGTTTGGACTACGGTAAATCAAGCTTATCATCAGCTCTTTCTATTTTCATTTCAAGCAAAACCCAACTAATTTGCACATTCCACTCTAATGGCATATGTTATCGATGACCGCTAATGGGATAGTATTTCCAATGAATAGGGCTACTCTTCCTTTAAGTTGGGTTCTGTTAGCTCTCAGTGATGTCAAACTGTCAAAGTCAAGTCCCCTTAGGTCTACAGACTGCGTCAGCAAAGTTCCTGTGAAGGCGATTACACTCGTATATCTGCACACCTAGCTCTGGCAACTTGTTGATCAGTCTACAAGCATTCATGCAACAAATACGAAGACCATTTAAACGGCTCCGTGTTGCACCCAAACTGACTTCGGCAGATTTACAATTCCAAAGTACACCCTAGTTTCGGTTGATTTTCAGCTTGAGATCTTTTTGTACTGCCCACGAGCGACAAATATTTATTGACATTATGTAATATTAGGTCCCTTTCATTGATAAATTTAAGTGCTGCATTTAGTAGCCTGCTTTGATTCCGATTAAAGTCCTTCTGGTTACCTAGTCTTTAAACCTTAAGCGCAGTGGCCCCATAGATTTCTTGAGGCTTCGTGCTCCCGCTCTCCTCGCCTCTATGAAGGACAAACGACCTGTAACAATGATCAATCTCCGATTTGTCAGCTATTGTTTGGCGGGATGGTCTTACATTAGTAACATTAGGTCGTTTCTTATGCGTGATCTGCATACATTCGTCAACTTTCATTGGAATAACACTCAAAACCGCATTACAAACACTGCGAGATCCTCGATGATTGTCGGGGACTTTGATGTTCATGTCGTTGTTCGTCCTGTTAGAAACAGACCAAGCTTACGAATAAATTTATCAGGCGTTTCCTTCTATTTATCATTCAGAGGGAGGAGCAGGAAGATGTTCCACTTGTAAGCTTTTGTTTTCAACAAACCTCATTGAAGCTGGTCCTTCCTACTTTGGTTCATGTCAGTCAATCGACTCTACGCTTATTTGAAACAACTTCACATGGATTTGTGTACCGGCAGAACGAGTACCAATCGATGTGTCACAGTTGTAGAATTATGGTCCACTTCGTTATTAGTTCTGTTTTAATAATAGATCTAAACCTAAAATTGTACATTTGTCGTGATGTAACTGCCTAATCTATAAGATCCTACGTGGAAGTCGCATCATTGTCTACACTGGCTCATCGTACCGTAACAATTACCGATATATGATGTGGAACGCATTCAGGCTGGAGACAGAACAATATATTTAATATGAGTAAAAGCAAGTTGTACAGATCGACCACGCCTGCAAGGTCGAGCCATGTTATCTGACCAAATATTAGATCAACGATCAGAATAAACATGTGTTGGGTAAGACAATAATGCAACGTAATATGTATAATATTATGGAATCGGTACACTCAACATCTGCTGTACAATGATCAATAGAGCCAGGGTCTTCCATTGAAATGACTTGAGATATATTCGAAGATTTGTACTTAAGTCACTATACTGCACACCTCTTGGACTACATCAAGAGGGCTGAGAAACACCTCACCTTGGTTGACTAATGAGGTTCTCACTCTTCTCCGTAAAGGGAAAAGAATGTAGGAGAGATTTAGGTTACTGGGTGCTGACGAGACAAAACCTCAGTGCGGGGGGGTGAGATATCTGTGCCTCAACCCTATACAAGTCTAGAAGGTTGTGCGAAGAAACATTTGTTAAAGAACCGATAAAATACCCCGGATGCTTATAATGGTACATAAACCAAAGGACTAAGAGAAGACGAGATATTCCAAAATTATGGGGAAACAGTAGTAGTGCTTCGTTGGTAGAGGTATATTATGGTGAAGCTCAGGTATTCTCAAAGTGCTTTAACAATGTGTATTTCGTAGAGATGCTTTTCCATTCAGTTCATGTAACCCCCGCACACACACTGGACTGTGTGACCTTCGAAGGACTCGATGTCTTTGGACTGTTAAATGAGCCTAATATAGGCGAACCCATGGAGTCTGATGAAATGCATCCCAGGCTACCAATGATTTGATAAACTTCGTCGTGAACTCCTTATACATATGTTTTAATTTATCTGTAACCCAGGACTGATTACCAATAAACTGTCAGGAAGCCATAGTAGTTCCAGTCTTTAAAACAGGAACGAAACTCGAACCTGAGAACTATCGACCCGTAAACCTAACCAAAGTTGCTGTTAAAATTTTAGAAAAGATTATTCTGAAGGGATTGTCTAAGTATCTCGATGAAAACCGGATTCTTTCCGAAAAGAAGCATGGTTGTAGAACAGGATATTCATGTATCACCAACTTATTAGTGGCTCATGAGAGCTGGTGAACTCTTAAGGATCAAAAGTTACTTATAGACGTAGCTTACATTGACTACAGCAAAGCTTTTGACAGAGTTCCTCACAACCGTTATATAAGTCAAAAAATGTCGGGGTTGGAGATGATCTATTAATGTGGATAGAAGACTTCCTAGTTGGGCGCTAATGAAGATTATGAGTGAACTCAAAGTTTTCTAGCTGGAAAACTATGCTTAGCGGAGTGCTCGGGGTACAGTTTGGGGGCCAGTGTTATTTCTCTTGTAAGCAAACGAACTTCATAGTCTCCTGTCATAATCGGTTTTGTTATATGTTGACGATGTCAAGATCTTGACAGCGATGAAGAGAAAGGGTGATAGTTTAAAGCTTCAAAATGACCTGGAGAAATTATCTGAATGGTCTAAATTCAGGCAGTTGCAGATAAATGCTTCCAAGTGCATTGTGATTCACACTGGTCATCAAAATACAGATACGTATGTGATGAATAATACCGAGTCACCTGTTGTCCAGACACTCAATGATTTGGAAGTCATCGCTAGCCTAGACTTGAAAAATACCACATACTGCTGTGCAATAGTCGCCAATGGTTTTAGAACCTCATGGTTAATACGTAGGGCTTATAGCCTTGTCGATACTAAAACCATTTTGACTTTGTATACAGTATTCCTGCATCCTAAACTCGAGTACTGCATACCAATGGCTAAACCCTGTCTAAAAAGACAGTCAGCTATTGGAAAAGGTTCAAAGAACTGGAAATAAGCTGATTCCCGGAATGTAAAAGCTCTCGTATGATGCTTGACTGTCTAAACCTATTTCGATTGTTACATAGGAGCATCAGATGTGACTTTATCACAGTCTTTAAATTACTTAGCGGTAGATCCGCATCTGATGAGCCCTCGCTTTTCTTGTCCTTTAAAATAAAGAATTTACGAGGACAGTCTAAAAGCGTTTACAAGGTCAGAACAAATTACTTGTCAGCTCACTGTAAACTTTTCCATCGAATCATTAACGACTAGAATTCATTTTCCAAAACATGAGTGATGCTTTCAAAAAAGGCTGGACCAAACGAGGGACCATCATTGCCAGGACTAACACAAGCCACCTAGCCTCCTATCCTTTCCAAAGTGAAACTGAATTGGTGAAGTACAGGTGATGAATTACTTGAAAAAAGACAATACTTTTCGTGCTAATTCAGCTGGAATAAATTCAATTAGAGTGGAAACAGTAGTATTGATGTATAATAAACAACCAAAATCACAAACTTAACTCAGCGAGGAAAAGTATTGCAGTTCCTTTTAAACAGCGCGCGTCTCAAACTCATCTCAACTTGTAGATCGTCGCGAAAGCATAATATCGGTAATTTGTCCGATATTATGCGTCATTATGACGGGATCACTTTCATTACTTGAGAGATGGAAGCAGAACTCAAATCAAATTTGACTGCTTCTGGAAAAATTTACAAACTGTCGAGGTGACGCACCCATCGTTTTACGACAGTTTGACCTTCAAGCGCACAACAACCTCCGTCAAGGAACGATGCCGCTGGATCGTCGTCCGACGAGGTTGCGAGTTAAAGTAGGATTTTATTTTGTTTTAAATATAGGACTAGAAACATAGTAAAAAGCAGAAAAGTGATGAAGAAATAGAATCTGATAGTGAAGCGAGTTCGTAAGCGTTCTGTTTTCACAGCTCACTAACTGATTTCAGCGTTGGATCTGAGACAGAGTCTGATATCTCAGTACATGAAAGTGCTCACGAGAAAAAAGTACGACTCACAAAGAAGGCTATTCAAAAAGCGCTTGAAACAGGTAATTTTGCACGTTTTTTATTTCCCCAGTTGGTTCGGATGACGAAAAGTACGAAGCACTTTCCTTACGTCTCAAAGAGGAGGCACTACAGGCTAAAGGAAAGTTTTTAGCGAAGTTCGCACATCAGGTTAGTGTAAACTTAAATAAGTCCTATCATTCAGATCAAATTCTTGAATAAGGAGGAAATTATAGTTCTTAGAGGTCATAGAAAATCTGTCTCTTGTGTATGTATTTCTGAAGACGGTAAATTTGCCTACACTGGAGGGAAGGATTCTTCAGTAATTAAATGTAAGTTGTTTGTTGACATCCCAAGAACCTCCAGGGGATCTAAGCACTATGGTAAAACTGTGTTCTATACCTGGAGGGAAACGTGGAACAAAATATCCCTATCATACTGGCCCGATTCTGTCTATTTCCATATCCAGTGACAGTAGATATTTAGTAAGTTGAAGTTGTTTATATTTGAATATAGAAATCGCTTTAGTCTGTTAATTTTCGCCCCAATAGAGCTCTATAGCAAAAGAACCTGCATCCCTGATGACTTTTATTTCAAATAATGTATTTGTTCTTCAGGATTAAATTGCACTTCTTATGGATACTGTATGCTCATGTAGCCAGTTAGCTTGCCGTTCGAAACGATAGTAACCCAGTCACATGGCATCACTCTCTTAAAACATGCTATGAACCGCATACAACTTGGTAAATTATTTTTAGATTATAACGGTGATTAACAATAGACATGTAGTATTAAACAATCCGTCTGCTGGTCTACCACGTTTTCTGTTCTGAAAATACCAAAAATGCTTAACGTACAATCGGGAATTTCCAATTCGTTTTTAAGTAATCTTGACTGCGTCAATATCTAATGAGGTATGGTGGATGGAAGATCCAATAAGCCACTCATCCTTTTATTCAGTGGACACTTAAGGATGATAATTAAGGACAAACGAGAATGTAGCATACTATGTTTCACAGGTGTTTATCACCTTAAATCTTTTCATCTAAGCCCACAAAAATAAGTGGGATAAAAATAGTTACAACAAGTCAGAAAATAATGGGGAAAACCATGAATCTTAACCATAAAACTTTAAATACGAAACAGAATCTACCGTATCCTAGATTGATGTTTGCTTTGATTTAATTGGACTTCGCTATTTCTTTTGTGCAACTCCACCTGGAGCCCCCCGGATAAAGAAAGAGGGTTGGACATAGGGTTATCGACCCCTTCCTGTAGAAAACTAACTCGCTAAAATAACGCTAACCAGAAGAAATTATTAATTTGTTTTGTACGGAAGGCACAGATAAATGGTGATAGCCGAAAATATATGACATTCTCAATCCAACGAATTTATAATGAAGCTCAATATGAACAGTTGGCTTATCTCTACTTAACTGCTCAAATATTCAATGTGGTTAGATGGCCTCAATAGTGTTGTAGTGCACAACTTGTTTGATCTTTAGCGGTCTAAGGACCATGAAGGCTTGGTTAAGCAGCAAGCACTTAGATGTAATAGAGGAGAATTTAAACTATGTTACTGATATATGGTGTTTTTAGCAAAACCGTACCAATTTTAATCTATTCTTTCGTAAATCTGTATTTAAGATTCCTCACAAAACGGTTTCTTGGTATATCTACACATCTAACAAATCCACTGTCATTTTACGTTAATTGCTTTAGAATAAATTATAATATTATGCAACTTTATATATCAAATTATGCCCATATATCATATCCTTTAGGCTTCCTCCGGTATGGACCATTCCGTTATAATATGGAACCCAAATGATATGAAAGTTTTCATGAAACTACTGCACCATAAGGTACCAGTTACAGTGAGTATCATCATTTTCTTCATTATAATTTCATCATTCAGGCTGTTAGTTTTAGATACCATTCACACATGTTGTTTACAGCAGATTGTTCTGGTCGTGTTTGTGTTTGGAATATGCCTTTGAAAGAGGTATTACAAGACCAAGGGTAGGTGTTAATTGTTTTTCAAATATATAATCTTGTTCCCTACTTCGTCACAGTCTTTGTTTCATTTTACACGTGCACCGTGTTGGCGAGCGTCAGCTTGCACGAAACCTATGTCCAGGGTTCAACGTCGATCATATTCAACCGTCTAACAGCCCCGCAATGTATATTAATATTTATTGATCTAAAAGTTAGTGGTATTAGGTAGCCGGTAACATTTGTACGAGCTGTATTTACATTGGTAGAACTCGGTTGCTCTGGTGCTTCTGAAGGTGAGGAGAGCCCGCTTTCCCTCTTGAAATGCTCTCATGATACACGTATATAACCACTATTCATTGCCTTATCGTGGCGGGGATGAGAGGACGAAAAGCAAATGTTCAGTGCTGTCACCTAGTTGATGGATTTGGAGGATCCACCTAGGGGAATTGAAGGCCCCTGATTCCAAACTAATGATGCACATGGATCTCAAGATCCTGAGAGAACAAAAGGCGTATAAACCAATTGTTGGTCATCGGCCACCATGGGACTGCATCTTTTAGAGTTGCTCCACTGTCTTATAAATTAGACCTTCAGGTCAAAAGCTAGGGAGCGGTCCCTCAAGAAGACGAACTATCTGTTTGGGCACCTGGACAGTATCACTGTTCTCACACAAATCAATGATAACTTCTACTGACTTCATTGCTATTGTGTGGCGCATATGTATTCGGTTCCCCCTTGTACTAATGTTTGTGCTTAAATAAATGAATAAACAAACCAATGACTCGCTTGATGACCAAGGTCCTGAGGAAACAAATCGTGTTCAAACCTATTGTTGATCACCCACTACCATGAGACCGCATCTCATAATGCTGCTCCACTGTCTTATGGATTAGACCTCCGAATTAATAATCAGAAAGTGTCTCTATGGGAACCATCGCTTTGGTATCGGCACCGGGAGAGTATCCCAGTCCACGCACAAGTTCAGTGACATATATCTTAGTGCCCCTTCGCATCAATGTTTGTTTTGAGGTAAATAAATAATGGGGTTACCAAGCTGGGTTTTTTTGTTTCGACGTTTAACCCGGTTTATCCTCAACATGAGCTTTTAATTTGTAATTTCTATTTAAATTTTCTCGGTAATAATCGGTTTCTAGTCAAAACGTATCTATTATTGATGTCATCATATTTATCTTAGTGTTTTTTGTCGCCACAACCCGTGTCCATTAAATTTTTATTATAGTGTGAACAGACCATTGTTTCCTTTCAGTTTGTGTTAATTAATTTTTACTTCAAATACAGGGCAAGAACAAATATCGAAGTGTTAGGATTATGTGGTCTGGTATCTGAACGATGTGTTTCATGTTCTGGGTTTGGTGGTCCCGGCGTTTGCGTCTGGAAAGTTCCAGAAGAAATATGTGTTCAGTATAGTACAAAGAACACATTAGAGTAAGTTTCAGTATACTTTTTAGTAATTTGTTGCCGTTGAAATTTACTGTATATCTCATTATGAATGCTCTTGTTTTACTAAATTACAGGAGTTCAGTAGAATGCATTTATGCAGTCAATGACGAAATTTTCATAGGGGGTTCTTCTACAAAGTAAGTTTTATCAATTCTGTCGAGTGTTTCATTACAGTTTGTCTATTCATATGCAATTTACAATTCACTCCTCTCTATTCATTTTAGTACTATTTATATCTGGCATTCAAGTAGAGGTAGCCCTGTATTTACTGTTTCTCCTGCTCACCCTGTGGCAAAATTATGTCCACCGTCGATATCAGAACCTTTTATCCGACCAGTTGCGAATTGGGTTTCTGCCATTACTGGTCTATATGGAACTGATCTAATTGCTTCAGGTTCCTCCACAGGGCACATACAATTTTGGCGACTTGTTCAGCCACAATGGGATCGTTCAAATGAAGTTAAAGTACAACAGCAACAACAACGAACACAAATCAGTATTGAACGCATACCTAGTTTGAGTATTTCACTGGTAAGCTTCACATCGTATTCGATAACTCTTTAGCGCTTTTTTATAGTTTTAATTTAGTGGGGCTTACCTGAGATTCTAAACTGTCATTGATTGGGGTGGTTGGAACACAAATTACGTATGCCTAACCACCGCGAATTCGGGTGCAGAAATAAGATAGAAACTAGGGACGACTAAAACATGACGTGGCATCAGTCCATAAAGTTACTAACTTTTGAACTAAGCCGTGTGCGTAGGACCTCGTGACTAGCATAACCGATCGTTAGTAGTAGCGTTGTGTGAGTTGGCTCGAAATCAGTTGCATTGACACAGATATACTCATTCTATATTTTCTTTTATATTTTGAGTTTAAAGAGTATGTAACACTTTTGTTCTTCATATTCATTCTTTTCAAACCATATTCTATGCCTAATGTTTCCGACTAATACTGTGATTACTTCTACTACTCTTATATTTATCTCGATAATTTAATCTCCGTCTTCTGATCATATATTGTGCCAAATCGAACTAACACAACCATATTCCTGATAGTTCATCATGATTTCATCGTTGTCTCCGAAGGATTGCTGGCATCCAGTGGTAACACCATGTCAGTAATGCAGAGGTCCGGCATCGTGTGTTCGGTCACAGAGACAATAATGAAATTGGTGTCACCATCTTGAAACACCGACTTCGGTGGCTTAGACATGTTCTACGAATGTCGTCCCAGAGAATTCCTCGTCGTGCATTATTTGCCGACTTTGGGACTGGTTGGAAAAAGCGGAGGTGGTTAGTATGACATGGTGTCGTGGTATGAAAGAAAACTGCAAAGGGCTAGCTTCTGTTGGTCCTTCACGACTCCCTGGCTGGGGTCCGAGGGACGGTGTAACGCAGTGGCTAGAGACGTTATCAGATATGGCTCAGAATAGAAGCCAGTGGCGATCGTGCTGTAACCTTCTTTTACTTTCTTCATAAAAAGTGGTTGTATCTTCCTTAACTGAAAGATTTCTTCTGATTGTACCTTTCCGTTTCCCCCATCATTGTTCTCTCCCTCTTTTTTTTATAATTCCCCACGTTCATTACTTATATATATATATATTCTCTTCAAATTATCATTGTTTTGTGTGGCGCATATATATTTGATGCCCCCCTGTACCAATATTTATGTGTTCAAATAAATAAATAAATATAAATAATATTCCTGATAACCGATTGGAACTTAACTATTGGTAGCTCATTCGTATGGATCTTATTTCGCTGGTCTTGTTAGGCTTTTCGCGTTTTGCTGTTTTCGACATTTGTATTGTAGTCGGTTACTTTTTAAACCCAACTATTAACATTGCACAGTATAAACAAAAATGCTTCGACATCCGTTTTGTTCTACCACACATACGTAAATCTAAGTGTTATCCATGTCTTTACTGTGTATTGGATATGTTTAGTTCCCAGAATTGATTTAATTTATTCTTGGCTGGTTTTTTTCCTTTTAATCACCAGGGTGGTTTTATCAATGGGCTGGCTTTCTCTTCTGATCGTCGATATTTAGCTGTTTGTCTAGGTCAGGAACATCGGTTCGGTCATTGGGAGCCTAGGCGTCATGTCACCAATGGTTTATTTCTAATCCCACTGAATGTATCCTAGTAAGTTTATAGTGGTATTTTAAAGCTAATAATAAATCATGTATGCTCATTGTGTTAAATGCAAGAGTGTCGTCAAAGATGTTCATTAATTTTATATCTTTTCTTTTCGTTTTAGGTTTATGATTACCTCATGGTGATTAACTTAACAGAAATTGTAAATCAAAAACTTTTTTAAAATAAACTTGTTTTGATACAGATTTTCTCTTTATTTTACTTTAAAAGGACTAGTCATTGACCAACCGTTTTATGCTTTTGAAGTGTGGTTTTAAAATTAATTTTCAGTTTATCTCTTCGGTATAATAATCAAAGCTTTTTTAGTATATTTGTTACTGAACACATAATCCTAATACTACATGTATCTAAAAAGTCTATATGTTGTGGATTTATCGAATTGCCTTCTCGTACGTACGTTGACACTCAGCTATACTGTACGTAGATATTTCGAAAAATAAACAATTAAAAAGTTCAAATTTTTGGCAAATTAAATTTGGGACACAGATCTCTTTAGTAAAATGTAACAGTTATAAAATTTGGATATTAATACGAATCCGCATAAGATTTTATGTGTAATGCCTTTAACCAGCACATGAACTTTAAATAAATTTACTCTTCACATACGACTCAGTCTTCGTAGTAGTATATAACAACTAAGCGACTTCATCGAAAGTTTCTAGGTACTCAATTTTAGTGAAAAGTAATAAGTCGAGTACTTCCAAATTTACATCGTAACAGATTCTAGTATCCAGTAAACAGTTAAATAATCATTTGCCCTAGATATTCTATTGTATTAAGAAAAATTCTGAAGCGCGACTGATGGCCGCGCAATTTTGTGGATTGGGACGAAACGGCCGTCCAGTGCTTCCAGGTTTTCCATGGTGGTCTAGCTTCAACTGACTCATGATCTTAATCATTGAAATTACTACAATCTCCACAAAACCCCTTCTGATAAAAAAGTTATTGTTTTGACTTATGTTAGCATGAAAGTGATAGCTGATTAATTTAAAAAACAGCCGAATGTAACACAAGTAGTTAAATTAATTTTTCAAAATAGAAGCGTGTATATGTGCATGTATCTATTCTTTGATGAAACACATGGTTATGTGGAAGAAGTAGACCGAAAATAGTAATAAAGGTTTGAGTTACGACTGGTATTTAATTTCAGTTCGGACTTATTTTCTACCGTAATGATAAATAATAAAATTTTGCATTTTTTCAAACGTGGAATTATGACATCACTGTAGATTCATTCATGTATAACAAATGCTTATCTTGTACATTGAAGATACATATTTGTTTACATATTGATAATGCTATAGTTTCTGTATTCTATGCATTACTAACGCATTTCCATTATGTTTCATGTAAAATTACATATTCTGTTGATTAGATGTGAATTAACACACCACTTACTAATTCCTATTTAAATACCTGTGTTTAGGTGATTATAAGTAAAAAGCACGAGGTATGGTGGTTATCGCTTATCAACAAATTGCACCTGATATATTGGGAGAATAACCGGATAGTAACATCTTTGGATGAGACAATGAGGGCCCTTGGTTCTCATATAACTTTAACACTAGCCTTACTGGCTAGTGCTAACCAGTACCAAACTATAAGTTATTCTAAATCACGTAACATTAAAACTATCACGTCCTGAGTCTTGTATCCTGGTGACTATATTGAGACCTCGTGAGTGGAGTGTGTTCAGCACAAGGACTAAACAAATAATGATATTGATCAGTATTCGATTAGCAATTAGTATATGGTGCTGGTTATTTATTTATGGCAATGGACAGTAGGTTTAAGTTCGGTTTAGTTAACTCAAAGACAAGATTCCAAAATTATGATTTTATTAACCTTGGGGATTATTCAACATTACATTAGTTCTAGAATCACCAACCAATAGGATTTAGACTATAAAGTCGATGGGTCAATCTAATCCATCGGATAATTGTAAAAAGATAGCACTTAAATTATCGACTTATAATTTGTTCTATCATAAATTCCAACTCATTGTGTATTCCGGTTGATGGTTCACAATATTGAATTAAATAGCACACCACATCAGAATTGCCTACTATATCTTATATTTAAATAGTTCAATCTGTCGAATTACTATAAGTTCATCATTATGACCTTCGCAATCTATTTACATTATATAAATGGCTCAATAATTGCTAGGATAGAGTTTTTCTGTCTATTTAAAGTGCAATTATCACTGCTTATCTATTTGATATGTCACAAATTACTTGTTGGTATTTCTATGTTTTTTCTAGGTGGTCGTTTTCATTTTCAATTACAGTACCGAATGTAATATTGCGTAGGGTTCCAACCAGGTATTTGTAGGTAAACACTAAATTCTGCGGAGCTAATATTGCACAAAATATCAAGGTTTCATGGTTAGAAAGAGAAAGCACTAACAATAAATACAATTTTTGTTACATCCTAATGAGTAGGAAAAAAACTTTCTGACGTTTCGTGACTTAATGTAAGCTACTTCTTCAGAGTAAGTAGAGGCACTAAGTGATATTTTTCTTAAAGTTTGAATATTTGTAATCTTGAGAAACCATATGATAATCTCAAATGATCAAAAACAATTTTACATTCAATATTTGTATGTAACTTCAGTCAATGGCTAATTGTATATAAATCTTTACTATCGTGGATACGCACTGTTGAGGAGTTCCACAATAGGACGAAACGACCGCCAAGTGCTTCCAGGTTTTCCATGGTGGTCTAGCTTCAACTGACTCATAATCTCAACCATTGAAACTATTTTTTGTTGACTTGTTTACATATTACTGAAAAGTCTGAATATGGTTTTGAAACCTCAGAAAATTCTTTAAAGTAAATACTTATTTTACCACTACATTTTGGCTTGACGATATTGACATGGTTATGGAACATAATAAATGTTATTTGGGTCTGGTATAGAGCCTTGTATAAATACTTTTTAGGTATTCTAACATTAGGAAATAACATCTTTTGCTCCATAGTGTTCATTATCTATGTTCATGCATCAATATTGTCTACATACAAATGATAAAAAATATTCCGATGAATAATTAATACAACCAAAATTTTACTAAGATTTATAGATGACTTAAAATCATGATTGATGTAAACATAAAATGAAAAATGTTGTTTCATTATGTGTTAAAATAGGACTAAATGTAGTTTTATATAAATGATATTGCAACCCATCTACCATGACTTTCAATTATGGTTAATTTTTTATTAAGCCCTTTTATTAACTTATCACTATCTTGTCTGTATAAACGTGTACGCTTGATCACATGTGACAGCTTACACACATCTCTCTCTAGCTTGAATGTTGTTAGTTGAATTATCACTCGAAATAAGCATTCTCTTCCTCATGTATGTATGTACTCGAATTTTATTATTAGCCTTCGCTTTGTATAACTGCGCTTTATGCGATTTGACTACAAATTTACCTCTGCATTTGCTCGCATATACCCACATTTGCCTCTCTGCTTCAAATTCGTTTGATATGCTTATAGCTTTGTTATCAGTACTGTCCGCTAATGAACTGTAGTTACCCCTTCTTATTACCTTCTGCATTTGTTATATCTAGAGCTTAGATTCTTAATATACCTCATGTAACTTGAGTACTCGAACGCTAGAACCCTCCAAGTCGCAAATAAGAAGACAGGAGACAAGTGAAAGGAATACTCTTTCAAACAGTGTCAATTATGGTGCAAAACTGTCAGGTATTTCTAGTTTTTTCTAATAGGAACAAAATCATCATTATAATCATCCAATTCAATTAAAGGGGGTTTTAGCATTTGTCCAATAGGTAAGCTACACGTATAGATTCACGAATATTCCTAAAGATTATTGGATAGAATATCTTCACTTCTTTCTGAGCTTCTTAGAACTATCACGAGTTCACCCGTGAGCCATCCTCACAGATTTCAAACACCATTCGGAATTTTTACGATAACCATTATCAATATGATTAATTAACAAAGCTAAACCACTACTGTGACATACTTCTTTACATATTATTTCTTAAAAAGAATATTATGTGTTCAATTTCACCTTTTTAACAAAACTATAAGGTCCAAAGTTGGAATCTCGCTGGATGGGAACGTGTATGCACACTGCTGAGGAGTTCCATACTAGGATGAAACGGCCGTCCAGTGCTTTCAAGTTCTCCATGGTGCTCTAGTTTCAATTGACTTATGAATTCAATTATTAAAAGGTTCTCATAATTAGATACTTTGAAAGCAGTCATTTATCAATAACATATATATAATCAAATTCATGTGATAAATTATTTACGAGATACATTCTCCACAATATATAAAACACATTCAAACATATATGTTACATATATCTGGGATAATACAATGACTAAGTGACGTTTTGGTGAGACTATAATTTTTGAACTACATTTGAGCGACGCTAAAGTTGTGGTTAGCGCAACTTATATTGATTTAATAAGTAGTATATGACGCGAGTTGAAAATGTAATGTCTAGCAGCAGAAGATGGGGGAAGATCAAGAAAGGAAGAGTGGAAACACAATGGAATTTGTATGGAAACTCATGACCAATGAAATGTCAGTCAATGGATTGATATTTGGAACAGGAACAGTCCAGTTTGATTTGAAGGATTAATAGTTTGCAAATTAACAATTTAATATATGGTTTTTCTATTTTACCAATTAACTCTGTAATTTGAGCTAAATACAATTCGGTTGTCCTCACTTGTGTTCTGCTTCACTACAAAGTGACCTTGGGAATCTCCACTTACTTACCAAGGCTAAATGATGGTTACAAGAAAATATGAAGAGTAAGGGTTATGAATTACAGTTGACGGTTAGGGTTAAGAATTAGATTTATGGTTTTTATCATGAACTGACATCAGCTAAAATGCCAGAACGCTATTTAGCCGAAATGGATGAATGGATTTCTCACAAAAATCCGAGACGCGTCATCCTAAATCAGATTGGTTCGTCCATAAATTATAGTCTCGCCAATAATAAAAAAACATTACATAATCTAGTTATTGTAACCAACTAGATTCTATCACGTATATGTTTACTGTTAAGGATAATAAAATGTTGATTGTTTTGATGATTGCTAAGAGGGAAGTGTAAACGTATAGCTCAAAACTTTAATGAATAATTTTTTTGTTAGAAATTTAGATACATTTTATTAATAAATGTCAAC